CACCCCCAGCATTCACACACAAGTGCACACTCAGCAGACACACACGCGCGTGCCCACCCAGCAGGCACTCTCTCAGGCACAAAGTGCTCATAGTTACACACGCGCTGTCACGAGGATTCACGCGAACACACTGGGAAGCGCAGGCGCACAAACGTAAATGAACCTGCCTCACCCACCCCCCACCGGAGTCACACGCGGACACACGCAGAGCCCCCTCCAGACCCTCCCCCCTCCCCTCGCCGTGACGTCACCCAGGAGGGGACTCACCTCGTAGTGCGCCTCTCCCTGGCCTCCCCCAGCAGCCCGCAGCTCGCTCCCAGCGCCAGCTGAACATTGCGCCTGCGCAAAAGCTCTGCCTTACTCCGCCCAGCCGTGGAGATGCCTTGTGGAGACTTCTGGGAAACGGAGTCCTGAGCCTCTCTGAGAGAGCGCAGGCGCAATGGGGAGGCTGGTGAGGGAGAGGCTTGTTTTGGGCGGGGGCGGGGGGCGGGGCCTTCTGGGGGCGGGGCCGGGCGGGCACGTAAGTAAAGCCTACTTTGCCCGAGCTTGTGTGAGCGGGTGATGCATGTGTGCACGCACGGGTGTGCACGCACGGGTTAGGGTTAGGGTTAACTCCTTTGGGGTTTTCTTGGCAAACATACTAGAGTGTTTGTCATTTCTTTCTCCGCCAATGAGGAAACTGAGGCAAACAAGGTTAACCGATTGCCCAGGGTCACACAGCCAGCAAGTATCTGAGGCTGAATGTGAACTCGGGTCTTCCTAACTCCAGGCCCAGCGTCCACTGTGCCACCCACTTTTTTCATAGTTTTGATCGATGTTGCTAATTCTCCCCCCCCCTTTCTCTTTTAAATGTTTGGGTCTCAGGAGCAGCTGGGGCCTGGGGTCAGGAAGACCCGGGTTCCTGATGCTGGGCAAGTCACTTCACCCTGTTTGCCTCGGTTTCCTCATCTGTAAAATGAGCTGGAGAAGGAAATGGCAAACTGCTCCAGCATCTTTGCCAAGAAAATCCCCAATGGGGTTGCAGGGAGTCAGACATGATTGAACAGCTGCGGCAGCAGCTATTACACCCCAACAGTCCAAGGGTAGCCCTGAGGGTCAAATGAGAGAATATTTGTAAAGCACTTTGTCCTGTGCCTGGCACATAGTAGGCACTATATAGATGTTAGCTATCATGAAGAAGATGATGATGATGGTGCTGCGGGAGAGAAAAGGGGAGGAAGATGGAGGGAAATGAAGGCCAAGTCAAAACAAAAAGGTCCCGATCATTTTATGTCTTGGACCCAAAAGACCCCGGGCAAGATGGGAAGGTCCCGGGGCTGTGCAGGGATGGGCCAGGACCTAAGACACAGAGTCTCGAAGAGTCGGAACGGTGCCCAGGAGACCTCCAGTCCAACCGGTGCTTGAACAAGAATCCTTTCTGCAACAAATAGTGGTCAGGCAGTCATGCGGCCTCCCCTTAGAGGACCTCCAGGAATGGGGAGCTCACTCCCTTTGGAGGCAGAGGTAGCCATGCTGGATGTCTGGGGCTTCCCAGGTCTTCAGTTCTCCAGCCTCAACCTTCCTTCGTGACCCAGGCCTCCCACCCTCCTGCTCACTCTTCTCTCCTTGTTTAGGCACAGAACAGCTGGCTCAGCTCTGTCCACCAGTTCCAGAGTCTGGTGAGGAGCCAATCTCACTGGTCCAGCTGGCCCAACAGCAGACTGACCCTTCCAGCTAAGATATCAAATCCTAGGGGGAACAAGCCAGCCAGGCCATGAGTGCCAGTGCAGACACTATATCCTGAAGACCCAATAAAACAATTCATAGAGAACTTCATGAGGAACTCTGGGAAAGAGAGAAAGCCCATTGAAGCTCTACAGTTTTGAAGATGTAAGTAGCCATGCTAAGTGTGTCTCCATATGTGTGTCTTACTACCAGTGTACTTTGGGATCCTCATGGATCCCTCTCGGTCTCAGGATATATTTGTATGAAAGTGTGTTCCTAGTGTTAGGGAAAATGAATTGAAATTAGTGATGGTGTAAATGCCTTTGCTTAACATTTAAGTCTACTGGCTGATTCTTAAGAAGAAGCATACCAGCTGGGGCTTGTGAGCTAGGGTATGGGAGGATGGTCACCCCCAGGCCTACCCTGAGAATCTTTGTAGTAGTAAAACCATCCCCTTGGGGACTCAATAGGCCAGTGGTGGTCTGGGTAGGGCAAGTGAGCCCTGAGGGGGTGTCAAATAGGTTTCTCTGAATCTCTCTCTCTCTTATCATTTCTCAAAGTGCTATAGTGTTTTATTATATGCATATATGGTTCCCCTTCTAATTGTGACTGCATTGATTTTGTTTGTGCAGATATTTTCAATGTCATGCAATCCAAATTGTCCTGATCTTTTCTATCCCTTGTTTGGTCAAGAACTTTTCCCCTCTCCATAGCTGTAAAAGCTACCTTCTTCCCCAGCTCCTCAAACGGGTTTATGGGATTGACTTTTGTATCTAGGCCATATGCCTTTTGGAAGTTATTATGGTATATGGTATAGGTTGAAGCCTAACTTCTGTTGGGCAGCTGCCCAGTCTCCTCAGGATTAGGTGGCTTGGATTTATCCAACTGGATAAGTTTATCCAACACTGAGCTACTGTGTTTCTTTGTTTCTGGATCTCGTCTACCTAATCTGTTCTATTGATCAACTCTCTAGGTCTTTGACTACCAAGCAGCTTGGATGATTACTGCTTTGCAGGAAAATCTGAGATCTGGAACTCTAAGGTCACCTTTCTTTCCACTTCTTTTCATTATTTCACTTGAGATTCATGAGCTTTTATTTTTCCAGATGAAGTTGGTTATTTTTTTTTTCTAGTTCTATAGAGTAATATTTTGGTAGTTGGATGGTGTGGCTCCAAACAAGTAAAATAATTTAGGTGGAATTGTCATTTTTGTTATATTAGCACAACCCAACCATGAATAAGTAATAGCATTCTAATTATTGAGGTCTAATTATTCTAATTATTTAGGTTGCATTCATAGAGTCCCTATGAGTCTTGAGAGGTGGGCTCCCCAATATTTTATTCATTCTGTAGTTATTTTTGGATGGAATGTCTCTGTCTCTGCCTTCTGGGTTCTGTGGGTGCCATACCCACAAAAGCCAACGATTTATATGGGTTTCTTTTGTATTCTGCTGCTTTGCCAGTAAGTGGTAACAAAGTGATTAAGATTTTGTGGGGAAGCAGGAGTCACCCACAGACTCTTTGTTAAACACCAAGGTGCTTCATTGGTAGTTAGAGTAAAGAGAGGGGCTAAAGGGCATGTGTCCTTGAAGAGGCTCCACAACACTGCTCACCTGGCCACACTGCTTCAGCATTTGGGACACGGGATCTCAATTCTCTGGTGGGTGTCCCAGGCACGTCTTGTGCCACAACTGAGAAGCCCCAAGTTTCAAGGGAAAGGCTGGCCGTCACTCGGTCATGATGGAAAGTTAGACGCTTAGGATGAAAGCTGGTGATCATCCAAAGATTGAAGAAGGGTTTTAAAACCTAGGGCATAACTTGTCCCATAACCTACTTGGTTAACCTGACTGTTTTCCTTCTTTCCTAGGATATGTGCCAGCAACATCCCAGCCTCATGTCACCTTTTAGAGGGCTCTTCATTCCATGGCATGTCTTACAATTAATACTTCTTTCCATGGTGTTCTGAAATCTTCATGTCATTCCTTATGGAACAATCACATCTCTGATAGCTAGCATTTATATAATGTTTGAAGGTTTGCAAAGTGCCTTACAAAGATTATCTCATTTGACATTCACAACCCTGGGAAGCAGGCGCTATTATTACTCTCGTTATATTCATACGCCAGCTCTTAGTCATACAGGTCACTGCTTGGCATAGATTTTGCTCCCAGTTTTTTATTACCCACGATGCTGTGATGAATGTTTCTGCACATAGATATTTTCTATGTGCATGTTCGCTATTGAAGTAAATATGAATCTCTTCTTGCTGTTAGTGACCTCCTAGGATTACAGATCCAGTAATCAGATTTGTGGACCGGAGGTAGGAGCAATTTTAGAACTGTTCTCACAAAATTCCACATGCTTTCTGGCAGCTGGACCAATTCCCAACTCCAGTAGCAGAGAGCCAATTTGTCTGTCTTCTCACTCCCTGCCTGACATTGATTTTCCCCATCTTCCACCCTCCCTGCTAACCTGAGGGCTGTGAGGTGACACCTGGGAGTTTAGGCTCATTTGCATTTCTATGATTATTAAGGAGTTTGGATTCTTCAAGCTGGCCGGTGATGGAATGTAGACCGTGTGTGTCTATATCCTTTGACCACTAATTTATTGAGGGGCACAGCTCGTAATCTTAGAAATTTACTGTCAATTCCTTAGGGATGCTGGATGTCAGAGACCATTAACATTCCGGTAATTATTGGTAAATGTGTTTTCCCCTCCATTAAATCCAGTTAGATTATCTCCTTTGGTGGTGGTGGGTGGGTGGGTGGGTGGGGGCATCAGTAGAAGGTACCTGAAGCTCATGCTTGAAACACTCCAGCTCCAGGATCCTGTCCGACCTCTCCGCCCAGCCCACACCCAGATCACAGGCTCCTGTCTTTTTCGGTGAAGCTTTAGGCATCTGTAATTTTTTCCCATTGAAAGGACCCACTCATGCTAGCTCTTAGATACATACATCCTCATCCCCAGCTTGTCTTGGCCCACCAGGTCACTTTTACTGGGATCTTAACCTTTTATGCTTCCCTTGCCCAGCCCAGATAACAGCGTGGTTCCTGAGCCCTGGTTCCCCCGCTCCCTCAACCCCAGACTTCTTAGTTCCAGTGTCCTTAATCTGCAGTACCCTGATTTCAACAAATAGTTACTTCCTTTCTTGAAGATAATTCTGTCTGCTTCCTACTCATGGGACTTGCACTATCAGTTCTCTCTTTGCTCGCTCAGTGATCTTCAGACAAAGTGGGATTTCCAAGAGGCAATACTCTTGCGTTATACTGGGGCTCTGTTTTGATTGACTCATTACAACGGTCTCTACGCTGATTTCTCTGCAAGTTTTCTTTGTGAGAATTTGTTCCTTTTTCTCTTTGTGATCCTATCACTTCAGTGGGTGCATTTCTTGAAGTTCTGAGGTGAAGGGGAGTCGGGCTTTGGCAGAACCCTTTACTTCACTCCTGTATACCTTCGATTCGCGGGAAGTCCCTCCAGCATGAATTCACTGATGGTGAAGCAGGCTGGACCTCTGAGTGGCAGCTTTTCCACAGTCGCTGCCTTCACAGGGATTCTGTCTCGGATAGTTGGTGATATCGAGAATGAAAGCTTTCCCATACTCCACACATTTCTAGGCTTTCCTACCAGGTGGAATTCTCTGGTACAGATTAAGAGTCTTCTTAAGACTGAAGGGTTTGCCACATCCTTGACATTCAGAGTTTCTCTCCAAGGTAAATTCTGTGATTCCAAGTAAGATCTGATCTCCAAATGACAAGCAATTTTCACATTCATGGCTCTATGCACGTTGATTAATTCATGTTTAGTAATGGCTCAGATCTAACCGAATCAGGCTTTGTCTAATTATTAAACACTCAACTTTTCTCTCTCGAGTTATTTCTTCAGGTTAATAAGGGCTGAGCTCTGCCTAAAGGCTTTCCCACATTCCTTACATTCATAAGGTTTCTCTCTCTCTGGACAAAGGCCTTCTCATTGCTTACATAGGTAAGACTTGTTTCCAGTAATGAATCCTCTGATGTTGATTAAGAGCCGATCTCTGGATGAAGGCTTTGCCACATTCCTTACATTCATAAGGTATCTCTCCAGTGTGAATTCTCTGATGTTCAGTAAGAACCGTGTTCCTGCGGAATGCCTTCCCACAGTCTTTACATTTGTAAGGTTTCTCTCCAGTATGAGTTATCTGATGATGAATAAGGGCTGAGCTCTGCCTAAAGGCTTTTCCACATTCCTTACATTCATAAGGTTTCTCACCAGTGTGAATTCTCTGATGGTGAATAAGACCTGAGTGCCCACTGAAGACTGCCCCACATTCTTTACATTCAAAAGGTTTCTCTCCAGTATGAATTCTATAATGCTGAATAAGGGATGATCTCTGTTTGAAGGCCTTCCCACATTCATTACATTCATAAGGTTTTTCTCCAGTATGAATTCTCTGATGTTGAATAAGGGATGAATTCTGGCTAAAGGCCTTCCCACAATCCTTACATTCATAAGGTTTCTCAATAGTGTGAGTTCTTTGATGCTCAATGAGGTATGAGCGCCAACTGAAGGCTGCCCCACATTCCTTACACTCATATGGTTTATTTCCACTATGAATTCTTTCATGTTTAATAATGTCTGATCTCTGGCTGAATGCCTTCCCACATTCCTTGCAATCATAAGGTTTCTCTCCAGTGTGAATTCTCTGGTGTCGAATAAGATGTGAATTCTGCCTGAAGGCATTTCCACATTCCTTGCATTTATATGGCTTCTCTCCAGTGTGAATTCTCTGGTGTTTAGTAAGACTGGAGCTCTGGCTGAAAGCCTTCCCACAATCCTTGCATTCATAAGGTTTCTCACCAGTATGAGTTCTCTGATGTTCCATGAGGTATGAGCGCCAACTGAAGGCAGTCCCACATTCCTTACACTTGTATGGCTTCTTTCCACTCTGAAATTGGTCATTTCTAGTAACATCTGAGTTCTGGTTGAAGGCCTCCCCAAACTCTGTATAATCACAGGCTTTCTCATGTTTAGTAAGACCTGAGCTCCACCTAAAGGCCTTTCCACAATGACTACACTTAAAAGGTTTCTCTCTCTCTTGAGTTCTCTCACAATTTATAATGTCTAAATGGTTGCTGAAAGCCTTGCCATATTCTGTGCATTTATAAGGTTTCTCTTCACCATGAGATCTCTGATTTTGAATAAGAGGTGAGCGCTTGCCAGAATTCTGTCTACCTTCTTCCAAATCATAGGGTTCATATCTGTTCTGCTGATTATGGGGGAGATTCCCATGTTCATCAGGAGGCCTCAGTCCTGGGTGCTTGGACATGCTCTGACCAAGGCCCCTTCCCAAGTCAGTACATGCATGGCCTCCCTGAGCAGTGGGCGCCAGGACACTAGACTGGCTGAGATCTTTTTCCTGGGAAAGGACTTTCCCTGGAGTCTCCCCTGCAAGGCTTCCCATTTGTTTCCATAACATGACCTCTTGGTAAGGACTCTCCCAAAATGTGGGCACCTGGGGAACAACACGCCTTCTAGGGCTGTCCACAAATGTCACTAGCAATCCTCCTCCTTCTTGTCTTCCAAGTGACTCCTGCTGGTTCTCGAGTCCAGAATCCCAGGCTGAAAAAAAAATTCAGAAGGAAAAGAATTTGAATCTAAGCCACAGATGACTTCAGAGGGCAAGCCCCGCCCTTACCACTATCCTGAATCTTGCTAGCCCACAGAAAACTGGTGGCTGAGGAAGCTAATGCAGGCGAAGGGCACGCTACCAGAGGAACGGTGTCTACGGAGCTGCTAGCAGCAATAAGGGTAATGATAGGGGGGAGGCTGCTATCAAATGAGATGATAATTGTAAAGTGGTTAGTGCCTGACACACAGTGTTATATAAATGTTAGCTATTACTAATAACAGTGACCACAGCTAGCATTTACATACCGCTATAAAGTTATATGTAAGATACATATACATTTATATGTGTGTGTACGTGTGTGTGTGCGTGTGTGTGTGTGAAATCTCAAATTATCCTCAAACAACCCTGGCAGTTAGGTGCTAATATTTCTCACATTTTGTTGTTAAGTTGGCTCAGTTGTGTCTGACTCTTGGTGACCCCATTTGGGGTTTTCTTGACTGAGATACTGGAGTCATTTGCCACTTCCTTCTCCAGCTCATTTTACAGATGTGAGGCAAAAGGCGGTAAGTGACTTGCCCGGGGCCACACTGAGCCAGATTTGAACTCTGGCTTTCCTGCCTCCAGGTCCCATCCCTCCATCCACTTTGCCCCCAGTGGCCTGGTACCCCACTATATCTGACCACGGTCAGACCGCACTGGGAGTTTGAGGTTCAGGTGAAGAAATCCCATTTTAGGAAAGGCACTGATGACCAAGAGTGGGTCCTGAGGAGGGACACCAGGACAGTGAAGGGCCACATGGTCAAATGAGGGTAGGTTGTCTCCCTTTAGTATGTATTCCCAGGACCTAACACAGTATTGGGCACATACTAAGCATTAAATAAATGTTTTTCACTCCTTCGTTCATAGCTTGAAAGATCTAGGGACAGTTAGCCTGAAGGACAGAAGACACGGCAGCTGTCTTTGAGGATCTGAGGCCCAGCCATGTGGATGAAGGATTTCCAGGGGTGGGGAACCTGCAGCCTTCAGGTCACATGTGGCCTTCTAGGTCCCCAGGTGCAGCCTTTTGACTGAGTCCAAGTTGGACAGAATAAATCCTTTTCTTAAGGGGATTTGTTCTGTGAAGTTTGGATTCAGTCAAAGGCCGCACTTGAGGACCTAGAGGACCACATATGGTCTTGAGGCCCCAGGTTCCCCAACCCTGGATTAGAGTTTGTCTTCTTGGCTACCAAAGACAGAAATAAGGACAATGGGTGGACGTTGCAAGAGGCAAATCCTGCCTCCCTATAAACATGGAAAACCTTTGGAGCAGCTCAGCCCTCCAGAATGTGAACGGGCTGCTGAGGAAGGAAGCAGGGAGTGGCCCTCACTGGGGGTCTCCCAGGGGGATTTTGGGGTGGACCTCTGAGGCCCCTAACAGTCTCTAGGCCCTCCTCCTGTGTCCTCCCTGACCCGGGGGCAGCCTCTCTTTCTAGGGGTGAAGAAGCTGAGGCTAACACAGGTGACCAATGTGGCCATGACAGGTTAGTCCCAGGGCTGGGACCAGGCCTCAGGCCTGGCCTGCTGACTCCTACCTCTGTGCCCTTTCCACTGAGCCATGGGCCTGACCATACGGAGAAGGAGCAGTCTGCCTTGGGATGAGGATGAAGGGATGGACAATGGGACTGATGAGGAGAGTCCTGGCATGGGCCCTTTTCATTTAGAGGTGATGGAGAGAGACGTGGCAAGGGGGCTGGTCAGAGGGAGCTGGCCCAGCGGGCAGGAGGGGCCCCCTAAGGGAGGGGGCAAGGACACTGTGAGGGCAGCCGGGCCAGCTCGTCACAGAAGGAGGGGACGACCCCGGCTACCATCGATGGCCCAATCACTCACCTGACCGACAAGCCCGTTTTGAGGGCCCGCCCTGTGTCAGCACGGGGACACAAAAAGGAAATGGTCCCTGCCCTCCAAGAGCTTCCACTCCATGGGAAGAGAACACATACATGTGGACAAATACACCAAGTCATTTGGGGGGGTGGGGCAGGCCCTGGCAGCTGGGGCATCTGGCTGATCCTTGGGTAGGAGGTGGCCCATGAGCTGAGGAATCAGGGCTCCTAGGATGTACAGGGAAAGAGGGAGGGCATCCCAGGCATGGGGTACAGCCTGTGCAAAGGCATGACGATGTGACCCTGGGAGAGGAGCAGCAAGGAGGCCAGTGTGGCTGGCCTGAAGAGGGCATGACGAGGAGGGATGTGTAAGATCTGGGGAAAGGCCTTAATGCCACAGAGCAGTCACAGCATCCTAAAGACCCCAGGGAGCCACAGCAGCTCACTGAGCAGGGGTGTGACCTGGTGAGCCTTGGGCTTTAGAAATGCTGATAGGCCAGCAGTGGGAGGGACCTCTGAGAGGCAGAACAGCATTGACAGACCACTTTTTAAACACCTCTCATTTTACCAGTAAGAAAACTGAGGACGAGAGGGTACTGGTCCATCCGCTCCAGGGCACACACCGAGTTATCCCGTGTGTGCACTGAGAAGACCCAGAGCGATCTCTCCATGAGCCTCAGGCTTTGGATTTCCCGACCCTCACCCTTGAAGACTGGGGAGTGGGTTGGTAAATCAGCAGCAGCACATGCCCCTGGGGACCCTCCAGACCCCACCTGCACCATCCCACACTCCAGAGAAGGCCAAACCTGAGGGCCCAGCAGGGCTGTGGCATCCACTGGCTCCTCGACACCTGGCAGAAGTGTCTCCTTCCCAGGGACAGGGGCTCCTGGGGCCCTCTCCCTGCAGATCTGAGGCTGATGGCTCTTCCCCTTGTTCCAGCCAGGAGACCAGGTCTGGTTTGTCCTCTTTTAGCCCTGCCCACGGGAGGAAAGGAGATAGCTCTGTACGGGGGCGGGGTAGGGTGGTGGGGGTGGTGGTGGTGGAAGGAGGCTCAGCTGTGACTGCCCAAGGATGGTGGAGGAAGACAGGCAGGTTTTACCTACTGGTAGCAGCTGGCTACACCTGTCAGAATCATTAATCCACAAGCATCTATTAAGCGCCTCCTGTATTCGAGGTGGGAGGGTGTGCTGCAGAGTGGATGGGCCAGCCTGGAGTCAGGTCCCACCTGTGACCTCACCAGCCGTGTGACCCAGCGACTCCCCAAGACTCCAAGTGCCCGAGCAGGTGCGGCTGGGCAGGCTTCTGGTAGACAGAGCTCCCTCACAGGAGGTTCCGTACAGCAATTCAATCACAGGGTCTGGGGGTAAAGCAGCAACACTGCTCACGGAGCCAGTGCTCAGATACAGGGACACAAAGACAAGAGCTCCTGCTTCCAAAGCTTAGATTGAATCGGAACCTCCCTTAAGTATGTCCACTTCATCTGCGCACGCGCGCACGCACACACACACACACACACACACACACACAGAGTGAGTGGGGCAGGGCAGGCATCAGCAGGTAATGGGATCAAGAAGGATTTCACGTCAGGAGGAATGAGCTCTGAAGGAAGGGAGGCCTCCTAAGAAGCAGAAACAAAGCAGGGGGGCCCAGGTATGGGGGTGGGGGGTAACAGTCCTCTGAGGCCTGAGGTGGAGCTCCAAAGGAGCCGCGATCAGAGATATCTGACAGGAAAATGGTGGCCCCCAATGGATACTCTCATCTTCCAGTTATAATCCAAATGTCCAGATTGGCTCTTGTCATCAACCCTGCCCCTTTCTTTAAAAAATTATTTCCCCCAAATCATAAATGTGAAAGGGAACCTCTTCCGTTCTCTCCCATTTTTAAAATGATTTGACCTCTTGATCGGCTGTCCATGTGGAACATGTGCAACCAGGTGGTGTGCCATGTTGGTCTAGGCCTGGTTTCCGCCTCGAGGCTCTCCAGTCCTCCCCATCTGCCCTCCACACAGCTGCCAAAGTGGCTTCTCTCAAGGGCAGGTGTGATCAGCCCTTCGCCTGTTCACTGCATGCCAGCTGCCTCCCTGCTGCCTCTAGGGATGAACCCCAGCACCAAAAGCCCTTCACCACCTGGTTCCCACTGCCTTTCTCTCTCTCTCAAAACGTCTCCCTTTTTCATTGAGATGGACATCCACTGGGTGTCCTTTGCTCTGCTGCCACAAAAAGTGCGGCTACAGATGGTCTGGTGTAAATGGGACCTTCAGAACCGGCCTCTTCTGTGGCACCCGGTGGGTGGCGGCTGAAGAAAGCATGCCCCACGAATGCAGAGCGGTGGATGGCAGGTGAGGAAGGGGCTGGCAGAAGGGATGGCTTATTCCCCTTTCCTAAACTTCCTTTGGGAGAGGGGAGCGTTCTTTGGGTCAGGACAGAACAGTGATACTGTAAAAACATCAATCAAGGCCACAATTTTTAAAACCAGGAGAGGAAAATGCCCTAAGTAGGGTTAAAATGATCTGCCTGCAAGATCTCTGGAAAGTGACAGAACGGAACCCTTCCGTGTGGAATGCAGGAACCCCTCCTGTCCACCATCCCTCCAAAGCAGCATGCCTTCTAGACGTGCCTCCTCCCTGACCCACCAGCCTCTCCTTCAAGCTCTCAGAGGGTGGGAAAATCAGCCCCGCTCTGGGCCCAGCTTCCTCTCGTTTAAATGAAGTCAGTGGACTTGGGAGCAATGCTGGATTGAGAGGAAAACCCAGCAGAAACAAAACAGTTCAATTATGTTCCCAAAACGGGGGAAAATGACGGGTATTTTGGGACGGTCGAAAAAGCTCTGGGCCGGGACTCAAGGGACCTCATTTCCCGGCCCATCTGGGCCAAGTTTGCTGCGTGACCTTGGACAAATCCCTCACCCAGATTCAGTTCTCACCAATGTAAAATGAAGGCATTGGGGCAGATTCGACTTCTGGCTTCTGAGGGAGAAGAAAGAAGGAAGGACTTATGGGAAAGAGAGAGCAGGACCCCGTGGAGGGGGTGCAGAGTTGGGGGGGGGGGTCAGTGTCCAGGCAGGCTCCCTAGTTCAGTCCGAACCAGATCAGTGTAATTGGAAATGCTTAAGAAAGTAAGTAAAAGTAAGGTATATCACAGATAATGCTAATTTGTGGTTTTCTAAGTCAGCTGCCAGCAGGGATCGTTTCCATCTGAGTTTGACACCACTGACTTAGAGAACTGTGGCTTAGTGACAAAGACCAAGGGGTGAATCTGAGGGAGACCGAGGAAGTAAGAAGGACGCTCTCTCGGCCCAGGGAGCATCCAAGCGCTACTTCCAGCTTCAAAGAGGAATGGGATCCCGCCAATGAGCTCCCGGGGGATGCTGTGCAATTTCACCGTTTCCCCATGATAAAATGCTGCAGGTGGCCTCCAGGGCAGCTCCAGACCCTTCTGGCTGTAAAGTGATGGCCCGGGGACTAAGCAGGACCAAAGGGCGTAGAGAGAAGGCCCAGAGGAGGAGGAGGGCTCAGGAGGGAGACAAGGGAAAGGGAACGATGGGAGAGTTCACCAAGCGGGTGGAGCGGGCAAGCGGAATGCAATAGGTTCTGGGGAAAATTCTCCAGGAAAAGTTATCCCAGGACGGATAGGAGATGCTCAAGAACGAAATTCTGAGATAAAAAGGGGGAAATGCCAGCAAGGAGGGAAAGAGGAATTGTCTAGAGAGATGTGGATGCACAAGGAACTCTCCCACCAAGTTTCTATAAAGCAGCCTTCAGAAGACGCAAGCAATGAACAAGAGAGGGCAGCACTGTCCAGGAAGACAGTATTAATGGCGCTCAAGCTCAGAACAAGGGAAGGAGGGTGGGGTAGGGGGAGCCAACCAAAAAGGGGAGGGGCTCCTTTGAACAAGATTGGGAGGAAAAGGAGAGTCTAAGAAGAGATGAGACCTTTGCTTGGGGTGGATGGTATCACTAGTAATAGCAATAGCAGCTAACATTGACCTAGGGGCAGCTGAGGGGGCAGCGCATAGAGCACCAGGCCTGGAGTTCAAATCTGGCCTATCTGTGTGACCCTGGGCAAGTCACTTCCCCTGCTGGCCTCCGTTTCCTCCTCTGTAAAATGAGCTGACGCGGATGTCTGAGGTTCACAAAGTGCTGTCTCGTTTGCTGGGTAGAGAGATGAAGCCCGACTCCGCGCCAGGCTCGGGGCCCAGCCGCCCGCTGATCCAGGAGCATGTCCCAACGATGACAACAGCCGCTGAGGTTTGCATGGAGCCCGAAGGACCCGCCCGAGCCCGCAGCCCCCGCAGCGGGCTTCCTGCCTCCGCCTTCCACACCCTGGCGGGCCGCTGCAGGACAATGACCGCCAGCAGGCAGAGCAGAGCGGCCCAAGGCCCCTGCTGCCCCGTTTTCTCTGCCCAGGGGAAAGCCTGGAAAGGAAGGAACTGCCCCGATGGGCCCAAATCCCCTGGGCGTGATGAACTGTAGCCCCGGCCCCCAAACGGGACAATGTGGTCGCTGACCCGCAATCTGTGACACGGGAAAGATCCTGGATGGCGGGCAGAGAATGGGGCCTGCCAACTGTCCAAGAGTAAGCCTGACTTTGATGCCCGAGAAATCCCAGACCCTCAAAGCGATGGTGGGCAAATACCCAGAAAAGGAAGACTCCCCCAGAATGGGCCACACCGGGCCCAGCTCGTCCCCTTTTCTAAGCACCAGTGAGGGGAGACCCCCATGGGAAGTTCCCTGAGACTGAGCAAAATGAAGGATTCCTACTACTCTAGGAGGGAAGGGGTCAGTCAGTCAGCAAACCCTTGCCAAGCACTCAGGGTGCCGGGCGCTGTGCTACCTGCCTGTCTGGGGGCAGAGGACAAGCGGCTCTGAACAAACAGGGTAGAGACGGGAGGAGTGAGATCCCCCAGGAGGGAAGGCCCCCCGTGCTCCAGGGACCAGGAAAGGCTCCATCCAGCACATGCCATGTTGGGGGGACCACGGAGGAGCTGCGGGAGGCGAGGAGGGGCTCCAGGTGATGACCCCAGAACACTCGGTCCCGAGCCAGCCCTCTTCTGGCTTTTCCTGTCTAGACCTCGTTTGGACACATTTATTTGCTTGTCTCCCGGTCAGACTGTACACTCTCAGAGGGCAGGGACTGACTTCTCCCTCTTTTTGTGACCCTCACACTTGGTGCAGTGCCTGGCATACAGTAGGTGCTTAATAAACGTTTACTGTCTGACCACAGCGAGGAACAGCAGAGACCACAGCAGGATCTCCCCAACTGCCTCACCAGCACCAACAGCCAGGGAAGAGCCACGCCTCCCTCCCCCCAGAGGGCCGGGAAGCCCCCGGCCAAGGCAGCCTTTGCTGGGGTCTGTGGGGATGGGGACGAGAGGGCCAGAGGCCGCACCATCCTGGAGCCCCAGACCAGAAGAGACAGCTGCCCAGCCCTGGGCCCAGGGGAGGCGACCTTACCCAGGGACACCAGGTTCCTGTAGTTCTCCAGCATCACCTCCTTGTACAGCTGCCACTGAGCAGGGCTCAGGCACCCCCATTCCTCCTCGGTAAAGTCCACGGCCACGTCCCTGAACGACATCACTTCCTGCAACACCAAACATATGCCTGCTGGCCCGGGGGGCACTGGACCCCAGGGGGAGGCAGCAGGAGGTGGGCCTCTGTGGGCAAGGCTTTGTGCCTTGGTTTCCTCACTCTGAAAACCAGGGGCTTAAACCAGACCACCTCCAAGGACCCTTCCAGCTGTCCACCTATGCTCCTCTCAGCCCAGACACGGCCCTGGGAGCCCCGGGGAGAAGGGCCCCCGATGGGGAGGAAATGGATCTGGGGGGGCGGGGCCCTACGCCCTATAGCAAGCTGGGGAGGCAGGGGTGATGTGCAGGCTCTGCTGGGACCCTCTTCTTGGAGGCTGGACCAGATGGCCTCAGGGAAGGAGGCCTCTGAGCAGGCCTGCAGCCGGGCGGCTTGCCAGCCTTGTCTATGGTCATTCTCATGACTGATCGCCAACCCCAAGAAGCCCCTGAGGACTCGGGAGCAGCAAGGAGCGGTCTGGGAGCCTGGAGGACAGTCCTGGAGCAGGAGGAGCCCCTGACTCACCTGGTCTGGGGTCAAGGGGACCCCGGGGGACCCGCCATGCTCCTCCGGGCTTCCCTCAAGGGGAAGAAGGAGATTCAGAGCCATGAGACCTGAGACCTGAGGGGGGAGAGAGGAGGCTGTGTCAGGGAAAGAACTGGCCTTTCAGCCCCTGCCGGCCTGGCGAGGACTGGCTGCCTGCAGGGTAATGACCCACCTCCCAGGCCCCATACACACACAGAAACACACACACACAAATGTACAGACACAGACACACACATACACACACACACAAATGTGTGAACACACACATGCACATACATACTAACAGGTACACACACACACATTACAGAAGCAGCCCTGGCATCGCTCAGTGCCAAGCTCCTCAGGAGAGACCAAGGGGGGAGACACAGATCAGGGACTCATGGGGCAGACGTACTAACTGGAGGATGCAGGTGGAGGAGAGAGACCCCCATTCAGTCCAATTCTGCACCCTCTATTAAGTCCCCACCAGGGGCAGGGTGCCCGGGGCACAAAGACAGGAGAGACACAGTCCCTGCCTGCCAAGAGGGGACACAGCATGGGTAGAGATAGGCACTTTCCCTGTAAGTGTGATGTGCTTGCTGGGCTGGGGGAGGGCTTCCTGGAGGAGGTGATGCTGAGGCTGCGCCTGGAAGGGGCTGAGGATCCCAAGAGGCCGAGGGGAGGACAGAGAGCCTTGCAGGCACAAAGGAAACAGTAATGCCTCTGGAGCAAGCCCTGCGCTAAATGAGAAGAAGGTGAAGCCTCCGGGCTCT